GGGGGCACTGTGGGACGCTCACAGGTCTGCTCAGGAATGGGGGCCCCGGCTCTCCGGATGCCCCGCCAAGCCTGCCGTGTGTGGACAGGGCCATGCGGGCGGCCCCAGCCGGCACGGAGCCCACCAGACCAGTGCTGGGGCACAGGGCCCTTCCCACGGGCCCAGACGGATGCTTAGGGCTCATCCCTGGTGTCCCCCCAGCTCAGCTCGGGCCACCCGCCCCTTCCGTCCCCCGAGCCCTCCAGGAACGCCGCAGCCCTCCCACGGCCATCCCCCTGCGCCGGGCACAGCCCCTGCCGTCAGTAACTGGATGTAATGAATGACTTCCCGCCACTCCCTGGTGACAAACGGCAGACAGAGCCACCTCATGTCCAGGGACACGGTGATAGAATGGTTTCTCCTTGATAGAAAGTGTTCTTTGAAAACAGGGGCAAAGTGCGGCCATGCCCAACCGCAATGACAGCGCAGGAGGTCACTGACTGTGCCACTGAGTCCCAGGAGACAGTTCCCGGGACTGTGGAGGACGGGAGGCGACTCTGGTGGCAACAGCACCCTCTGCTGACTCCCGATCGGAGAGCCTCATGCAGAGGAAAGGCACCTGCGTCTTCGGCCGCGTCTTCTGACGGCGAAAATCTGTTTCCTTACCAGGGCGGCGGCCACCACAGGTGAATGGTCCCCATCTCAGTTTCCCAGACCCTGCATTCCACGTGGCGCTTGCGTGTTGTAACCGCATCTCACCTTCTCGGGGTTAGTCAGCGTTAATGGAAAACTGGCTTCAGCCGGCAGGCAGAAGAGGCTGACCGCCCTCCCAGAGCCAACACCTGACAAGACGGAGCAGGCGCAGGGGGAGGTCCGCTCTGGAGGCGCACCGTGGGGGACGCAGCGTGGCCCTGGAGGCCGCGGCCCGCGGGAGCTGCGGCTGCCACAGGCGAGCGCGCGGAGTCGGGGAGCCACGGACCCCTCGGCGGCGGTGCCACTTCAGCAGCAGCGCCCGGCTCCCAGGCTCGCGGTGGGGGCCAAGCTAAACGATGAACACGGCCGTGCAACGTCCGGCAAGAACTTGCTGATGGGCGCCCGTAAACATTCTCTGTCACGCTCAGCACCGTCGTTACTAAGGGCTTGGCGTCCACAGGAGGAACACACACAGACACCCGTCTTCCACAGGGAGGGCCGAGTCCTCGCCTCCGACGTCCAGGCGCCCCACCCCAGGACGGGCCTAGCCCCACACACCTGGCCCGCACACCTGGCCCCGCCAGCTCTCAAGGTGGCCGTGCACCACATCAGTGAGAAATGACGAAGTGGCCGGACAGCAGGCTCTGCGGGCTGGGCGTCGTCCGCCAGAGCGAAAGGTCACCGGCCCCATCTTGCTGGGCGTGAGCCTGGGTTGCAGGTTCAGTCCCGGTCCGGGCGCGCGTCAGCAGCAACGGATCGATGTGTCTCTCTCAGGTGAATGCATCTCCCTCTGTTTCTCCCTCCTTTCCCCCTCTGTAAAAATACCTAAATAAAAAGTGCATACACGGAGGCTGGAAGGGAGAGGGCACCGAGGACGCCGCGGGCACCAGCCCAGAGGGCACGAGACCGAGGCACGTGAGGAACCCCCCAGCAGCCCATGCGGGGAAGAGGGGCGCGATTTCCTTGTTTAAACAGCAAAGCACAGGCCGGCGGACTGGAGGTCAGAGGAGCTGCGCTGGCTCCGGGGCAGGCGGCGTTCTCCTGGCGGGGCAGAAGGGGCCGGGCGTGGGCGGGCGGCGCCCCTGCTCAGCAGCTGCGGGAGGCTCCAGCCCAGAGGGCGGCTCTCCAGCCCGGCTTGCAGTGCCCCCGACCCCGGGTCCCGGGGCCCGGGCGCCGCAGGAAGCCCCCTGGAGGGAAACGGGAAACCTGGAAACCAAACAAGCTGAGCAGTCGACCCAAAACGCTGGACGTAAGAGCAAAACGAGCCTAAGGAAAACAAGGGATTTTCTGGGAAATCATATAAATACTAAAACTGCTTCAATGAAAAACAGAAAACCTGAGTAAAACTAGATCATAAACAGGTTTTCTAATGAAAGCTATAGGTAGTCTAACCTGTAAGTGTAAAAAAAAAAACAAACAAACCTAGATATCAAATGACTGAAACCAGTAGTTTAAGCACACACGTGACAAGAGGAGCTAATTTTAGGGATGCTAGGATGTTCACCATTAGAACATGTAGTAATAAAATTCACTTATTAATAGTGTAAAGGAGAAAAAAAACATATAGGTCAACAACAGTTGTCCAAGATATATTTAGTAATATTGAACAACCATTTCTGAGTGTTTAAAAACAAACTAATCTAGGAACAGACAGAGACATCTTAACTTGTAAAAACATATAACAAAAACCTAGAACAAACGCACTTAGGAATAAAACATTTTATCAACTTACTATCCCCGTGAGGTTGGAAATACAAAGTGGTCCAACCTCATCAAGGGAACTTGCCTCTTGTTTTTCAAGAATATAGATGCAGTCACCCTTTGACGTAGCAATCCTGCTTCTAAGAAAGTGGTCCCAAGACAAGCTGGCAAAGTGTGAAGTGACGCATGAACAAGGCCAGTCCTGATACCACTCTGTGTAACAGCAATAACTGGAAACCCCTGGGAAAAGCCATTTACAAACCCCTACGCTGCTGTCTTATTTTATTTTCCACGTACCTGTTTAAAAACAGAACTAGAAAGATCTCTATCTCACGTTAAAGAATAATCTACAGAACATATGATTAAAGAGGCAAAAGCAAGGAACTTAAGAGGGAGTAGTGTGCCTCATTTTTTTAGAAACCGGGAGAAGTATGAATATAGTTATGTATAGCATTGCACAGTCTGAGAGAAACACTGAAAGCAGCAGCCAAAAGCCCATAGAAAGGGCGGCTTGGGCAGGCAGGGAAGGGCCGAGGCCGGGGCGAAGAGGGCCTCGCGGAACCGCCCCGTTCCATCCACCCAACTTTGGACCCGGTACATGTGGTAATTTTTCTAATGTACAAAAAAGCAAGACAATCCTGAAAAATAAAACATCAACTGCAACCAAGCACTAACTGTATATCAAACTGGTAGCACAGTAACACAGAGAAAGATCATTTTAGGTGAATTGATTTTATATTTCCTGCATGATATATCTTAGGCACATAAGAACGACAGGGAAATTCTTAATTAAGGGAGTATGCGTGGGTTCATTATTAGCAACAGTACCAGTTCTGTTATTTTGAAATTATTATATATTGTGATGTTCTTTGGAAGAAAGACTTTCAGCCTAAGGAAAAAAATATATAAATATATACTCAAAGGAGTTCATTAAAAACCCTAAGATATTTCATTTAAATGAGCACACAACCTAGTTCTTCACATTATAAAATACACAGGCTTCTCTGCTCTGCCTCCCGAGGACCGTAAGAGGAAGAGACACCCCAGCGCCCCACGCGCCTGGGACCCAGACTATGGCCTCTAAGTACCACCACGTGGTGGGAACTGAGAGCGACCGGTGTCCCTGGAGAGGGGCCCCATCCTGGGTCTAGGCAGGAAAAGGACAAGACAAGCCCGAGCCATCTTGTCGTGTTAGCGGCCATCAAGCTGCCACAGAAGGCCAGGGTCACGCAGAACCCAGGTCACAGCAACAACAAACAGAATGACGACTGCAAATAGATGATACAGGCACTATATTTTTCAATCCATGGTTTAGTAATAATATCTCCCCCAAAACACTTACAAGTCGTCTTTGGAGACTGATAGAGCATTAACTCCCTGTTCTGTGAATTAATAAAGAGACGGAATCAAGCGTGCACCCTGCCTTTCTTTCCTGTACTAACTACAGTTCATGGTAGCTGAAGAGCCGATGAGAGAAACACTTCTTTACAGAAGACTCTGAGCTAATAGATGTGGAAAGAATGGCAGAGCTAGGAAGGCGGCATTTCACAGTCGCTAATGAAGAAAATGAACATTTGGTATGAACGTCATGGAGAGAGTCCTAATAAAAAGGTCAGGCTGAACATTCCCTGAACCCCACAGTTGTTCTTAATGTAATTAATATTCAGAAAAGCAGGTACTACATCCTTTCAATAAATTCAATAGGAAGAACAGTGCATCACGTATGACGTATTCTTGCCAAAAAAGAAAAAAACCTGAATCTGTTCAAGCGAGAGAAGCATGTTAATACCAGAAGCAAACATCCAAAATGCAGAAATCATATGGACGAATAACAGATCCTGTTTCTTCAGCGAATGAATGGCACAGGAGCAGGGATGGACCGCCATAGGCCACAGAGAGGGAAGCACAGCGACCCAATGCCGCGGCGGGCGGAGGCTCAAGGTGAGGATGGGAAACGTACCAGATTAGCACAAGTCAAAATACAGCTGGGCACTTGTATTTACAGATGGAATGCGTTTCGGGGCAAAAACTATTCCCAGGAATAGAGAGGCTCGCCTCATCAATGAGGACAGGGCCCCTGAGTCGGGAAGACACAACAGTCTTCCGCGCGCACGAATGAAATCACAGAGCTTCCGACTCCACGCAGCAGGGGCCGAGAGGGCGTCGACAGGGAGGACTCAGGCCTCAGGCAGAGCTGGGCGTTCCCGCGCTCCGGGCGCCGCGGCCGCCACCTCAGGCGGGCAGCACCGCGGCGGCGCCTCGGCCACCTCTGCCAGCCGGCCCAGCACGCCGACGCCGACGCCGACAACTCTCCCCTCCTCTGCAGAGCACGTGCGCTCGCCTTCAGGACACAGGGACCGCCCGCCCACACGGACTGCGCTCTGAGGCCTGAACCAGGCCTCAGTGAACTGGAGGGGGGGGGGCGGGGGCCCGCAGAGAAGGTGAGGGGCAGGGTCAGAAGGCAGAGGAGACAGACGGCGCAGGGGACAGAGCAGGCTAAGGTCCGGACCGGCGGGGGGGTCTCACAAGGTGTGGGGGGACAGAGTGCGCGTCGATGGCCGAGCCGCCAGGGAGGAGGGCCACTCCTAACTCAGAGAGTTGAGACTGAAACGAACACGCAGCGTCACCTTTGTTGGTGAAGAGGTTGTGGAAGGTGCTGCACAGGTGGAACACCCCGCTGCTGTGCATGTCCACGTGCAGCTGGTACCCGTGCAGTCCGTACCCGGGGCTGTCGTCCAGGAGGCGGGCCTGAGGAAGCAGCTCGTAGGGGCTACAAAGCAAAACAAAGCACACGCACGCATTTGTCAGTGCCAGCGACAAAGGGCTGGCATTGAAAACACTCTGAAAAAACAGGCCTGCGTCCAGCTCCCGGCCTTGTCACTCCTCTGCAGGACCCCGCCCCCCACGCCAGGAACTCCCTGCCCCGGCTCCTCCCACCAACTTCCACAAAGACAGGCAGAGGCCCAAGTCCCACAGGCGTCACAAGACCACCCAGGGCAGCCGCTCTGCAGGAGCAGCTTCACACCTCTGAGGCTCAGGGCCCGCAGCACCGGCCACCCCGCAGGAAAGCACCTGCCTGCACGCCGGCTGCTGCAACGGCAACCGACCTGCAAGCGGGGAGCCTGGGCAGGACCCACAGCCACGATGAGCGAAGTTGTCTCCGGTAAGAGAAACCTGACTACGTAAGGGAAACAAACGCATTCCAGCGCTTTTCAGGTTATGTTTAAAAGGGAGGAAGGTATCTGTCGTGAAATGGAAAGCATGTTCCCTGCCTGAAGACCCCCAAATTCAGCACAAGGCTGCACTGCCCAGACCAAGCGAACGCTCCGGTGCAGACCAGCGGGCCAGAGGTCTGCGTGCCTCCCGGGCTTGGGGGGGCTCACAGCAGCGCCCTGTGGGTAAGGCACCAGGACGCACTGGCACTGTTAGCGACGAAGGCGTCCCACCCCACAAACGCTAGTCCACACACAGGAGCCTTACCCCAGAACACACACGGCCAATGTGCACTCATGAATAATCCAATTATTTCAGCAACAGCTAAGTAATTATGCCTGTGGGCTTGTGTCAACTAATTAAGAACAGAGTATCTTTGTAGCTAGTCCCAGGATATTAAGATGGTATCAGCGTGTGACTGTTTATGTTGACTTCACAAAAACTAAATGCAGGACATCCAGATACGTACACAATGGCTGAGCCTAGTATGCTCCGCTCCACGAGGTGATGGACGTGCAGATTTGCCATGACAAAAGCCAGCTCTTCCTTCCTCTGAAACGTTAATTAAAAAGAACACATTTTTCAGCTGAAACGTCTTCATCTCCCACCCGGTCACAGTGAGGGTCGCAGCGCATCCGTCTCACAGACAGAGGCCGCCCCTCACAGCTGCAAGGCGGCCGCGGGGCCCGGCGCTGTTCCGGCTCACGCCCCGCCACCGTCTGACAGGACGCGTGTGTCCTACTGACGGCGGGGCCGCACTTCACCCGGAGTCGCCGGGCCTGCGGTCAAAGGATTCCCATCCCAGCATTTGTGAAACGGCAAAGTACTGTATTATACAAGGTAATTGTGAAAGCAGATCTTGTTAGTTCCGGGTCCTTTCAAACTCTTTCCAGAGATAAAGACGATTCCAGCAAGAGCTTCACAGACACAAGATTGTTCCACAAACACTTCACACATGTGGCGGGACGTTACCTTCTCGAGCACCTGCTGCCGCGGCAAACCCGGCGGGAACAATTAGATTCCAGCTCCTCCCTCGTCCATCAAGTTGGAGGACAGAGAAATGGGACTGTACAGGAAGGGACACCCATTTGTCGCCAGAGTCAGAGCGGACGCTGCCTGGTGTCGGTAACCCAGAACGTACTCTGAAGGCGACGTCGCCAGTGGTCAGACAGGGGCCGGCCAGACCCACCAGAGTGCCCGTGACTCCACGGGCCAACACCGGCGGAGGGCCTCAGGTCAGGCGGACCACGGCCGGGCGCACCAGTGGCCTTCACCCGGGGCAAGGGGGAGGGCACAGCGATGCCACGCAGGGCGAGAAGAGAAGGGGGCACGGGGGTGATGCGGGAGATCCGGTCCCGTCCAGTCTCCGTGCAGGGACACACCCGGCCATCCACTGGGGAACTGCTATGGAACACTGCCACGGCCAAGGCCACAGCGGAGCCTGCGGTGAGACAGGAACGTCACACTGGGCGCTTCTCACCAACGGGCCTGCCCAGAGGCTAGGCCCCCAGGCAGGGGCTGACCAGCAGGCTGACCCAGCGGCAGAGGGTAAGTCCTTACACCCTTCCCTGGGGGGCAGAGCCACTCACCACCAAACCCACGGGGTCAGCGACAGGCATGAGAGATGCGTGGGTCAGACGCACAGAGACTTCGACAGAGAAAGCACGTGGAAGGACATGAAAAGAGCACAGAGACTTCGACAGAAAGCACATGGAAGGACATGGATGGACAGGCGGGGACAGGGATACCCCAAGACCACGAAGGCAGCCCCCGCCTGGGAGAGCAGACCAGCAGAGGGGCCTCCACGCCCCGGCGGGGAAGCGCTGGGAGGGTACGGGGGCCGCCGAGAGTGCGCTCTCCGAGAGGACTGCACAGCTGCCCCCAGGCCACGGGGAGCGGGCATGGGGCAGGTGGGGAAGGACAGCCAGCGCCCGCAGGGCCCGCGCCTTACCTTCCACAGCCCCACCAGCAGGCCCGGGTCCAGGCGGAAGATCCGAACCAAGCGGTCGCAGCCGATCGCCGTGGAGTCAGCTATGTCGCTCAGACTGTACCTGGCCACCAGAGACCGCCACCGAGGCCTTCGCACATGCGTGTCAGGGAAAGGAGAGAGAGAGGTGAGCGTCCGCCTGTGTGTACCCGAGCACGCTGTGGAAGAGCGTGCCGATCGCGTGCACGTGGCTAACACCCAGCGTCAGGGGTGTGGGAGAGGGGCGCACACGGCTCGAAAGCCAGAGGCAGAGCGCCACGCCCTGCCCGGCCCAGCCACGTCTTCCCCCCCAGCCCTCGGGCAACAGTAGGAGGACGGGGTGGGGGGCCCCTTCGCTGGCCTCCGCTCACACCCTGCACGCGGCCGCAACCCACGTGGACTCTCAGTGCATGTCCCTGGTGGGTGAGTCACGTGCAAGCGAAGATGAAGCGCTTTAGCGGTGAAAATGCAGTGGTCTCAGTGGGCCGGCCACCCGACAGGACGGGCCCCTTCCCAAGGAACCCTCAGCCTGACCCCGACAGTAAGAACTGTACTGTTAGAAAATGAATTCAAACCCGAGCATGGGTGTCCTGAAGAGACACGCTGTGAGCTATACGGCAATCAGTCCGAAGGGTGAATGGCTCAGTTGTATAAGGAAACACACATCCACTCCACTGCTCGTCATCCACTTCACGTCGGCTGTGACCCACACACGCTATCGCGGTGGGCACAGGCGCCTGTCGTGCCCGGGGACCGAGGGAACGATCACAGGACTCCCAGGGAGAGAGCTCAGTGGCCCCGTGGTGCAGCTCAGCGCCAGGCCAGACCCCTAAGGAGCCGTGGCGCACGGCCCTCGGGGGCTCCCCGGGGCCCCGGGGGGCTGGAAAAACGCGCGCGCGCGCTGGGGCGGCGTCGGGCAGAGAGGCTGTGCGTGTCCCAGCCGGCCCTCGGGCTGCCAGCCCCCGCCCCCGGTCCCTCGGTCACTTTTCAGGGAATGTTCGTGCCACAGCCCCCCAGTGAGGGACAGCCGTGCGGGGAGCCTGGCCAGTCCCCCCGTGCCTTGGCCCGCAGGCTGCGACACAGAGGGCGGGGCCGGTGTTTACCCAGCGTTCTCGCCAACCTGGGAAGCCGCCGCCCGCGCGGCAGGATGGACGGCTTTGGGGCAGAGGGGCCGACTGAATGAGTCTGACTAGAAAGGCACAAATTACAGGGAAATTCAAATTGCAAATCACATAATTACAGCTTTCAGGTTCTTGAAAAAAAGAAATTCCCATGGAGGAAACAAAAAAGTTCCCAATGAAAACGAGTGCGTGTCTCCTTGGCTGTCACCTGGCTGCCCGCAGGACGTGTGTTTCTCCAAAGTGACCAAAAAAACAGGCCCGGCGTCTGTCCGCCACAGGCGCTCAAACGCCGGCTGACGTCCGCTGAGGTTTAGTGGAGATGAATTCCATTAAGTTACTTTCCCCAGTGCATCCCAGCCTTCCTGTCACAGTGCTGTACCCACTGGTCCTGAGCTGGGGGACAGTTTTCAGGACCATCCACTTAAATGAGTCTCTCATGACCATTGTCACCGGTGCTAACCGTTTTGCCCTAACACTGTACAGACTATCTCACGATGTGCGAAGTGACACCCTTCACACAGTCAGTCACACGAGGAGAGGATGTGGACTCCTTGCCCAAACCCAGCTCAGAGCGCACAAAACCCGAGTGCAGGTTCAGAAAAATCCGATGTCCCACGTTACATGTGGTGCTTTGGAGCTTTGTGCCAACACAGGTGCACTCAGGCCGGCAGCCGTGCCAACCGGGCAGCTTCAGGAATGGAATCGGGGACAACAACACAGCCCTGCCTGGGCTCCCACCCCCGGGACGCCCCGTGCCCACAGTCAGAGCACAGCAGCCGGCGCGCTGACATGATCCTCAAGAGCCGGCGTCACAGACAGGACCAAAACGCCGTCCCAGGTACGGAGTCACAAAACCGTGCCCGTGCCCGGGGGAACCGCGGAAGAGCGCTGTCCCTCCGTGGAGACGGCAGCCACAAGGGGCGCCATCTCAACCCCTCCCACGCGAGGACAGGTGTGAGAGAAGCCGGGGGCCGCAGGACGCAGGGGGAGGACAATGATGTGGCCAATGTCACCGCATGACAAAGGACACGGAGACAGCGACGGAGGTGGTCACGGCAGGAGAGCCACCCTGGGGGAGGTGGCCGTGAGCTCGGTGCAGCGAGACGCCCACGTGCTCAGGTGTGAGGATGCCACACGCCGCACAGTTCAGCATCCGGGAAGGAAGGACGACGGGTCAGGAAAGTGAGCACAGGAGACGCTGCACACAGTGGGACTCACACCGTACACAGTGTGGCCTGGCCCACTGCTGCCTCCCGACAGGACCGTGAGTGCTCAGGGAGAATCAGCCTGTGTCACACACGTGTGCGCGCCGTGCCTTTGACAAGGACAGCGTGTGACCTCCACAGCCTGCATGCTAAAGACAGCGGCGTCACCACCACCCCGTTGGAAACGCAGGCGCAGAGACAGCAACTACTCACACCAGGCCCCAGAGCTGGAAAAGCGCCTGACAATCACTAACAGTTGTGACTTTAGGACCCAGTGCTTCAACTACGACTACTACTCCGTTTACTAAGGAAAGCGTAATGGCTTTATGTATCTGTGCCTTAAATTGGTTGCAACTGAAATCCTCAGCAGGTTGGCCGTCCCCACCCAGGAACCTGTGTTAATGAGCACGCCATTCCCCTGCCATCGCAGGTGACCAGGACGAGCAGGACTACATTTAGACTTAACCGCACGGCGTAAGCCCCTCCTCTCCCTATTCCATAGCGATCCAGGGTCAAAGAGAGAAAGAGACATCTTTAAGATGCAATCAAATTAAAAACACTGTGATGTTCCTGAACTGCGAAGTAATGCCAACTAATGTTCACTTATAAGATGCTCTCACCCAAAAGTTCTGCTGAATTAGTACTTACGCGTTTTTGGTGGGAGGTTTGGGCCAGTCCCTAAAAACCGGTGTCACGCCACACAAATCTAAGGTAGACAATGTGGTCAGACAGGGCCAGTTTTTGCCGTACCAGACGATCGTAACTGAGGAATCGTTCATGTAAAGATCAACATGCTCCATGATGTACTCTTTTCCACTTTTTTCTTCCAGTATGATTACCCATCCTAGGCCAGACATTCTGCAGAAAGAAAAGCAGACTGGAATGTTTGCCTCACTGGAAACAAAATGCTAAAGTCTACGTCATGTCTCATCTCCGAAGCACCTGGTTCCCCCCTCCAAAGCCAAGGTTCTCAGCGCGTCACGTGCCCAAGGCAAACAGCCACTGTCCCTACAGTTCTCTCCTTGCACCTTTTCTCCTCGCCCGACGGACACCTGCTGTGTTCTCAGTGCTGGCAATACATAGACGAGCTTAAAATACATACATTCATACACACGCACACGCACGCACACGCACATACATACAGAAAAGGTCTGCCCAAGAGAAGTGCCTCGAATGCTCTTGGTTTACCAGAGCAGAGCACTGGGCTATTTTTGTTTTTCATGAAAACTTGAGACCACTTATCTGGCGTAGGAAGACACTATTTCACAGATGCATGGAAGCGCACGCAGACTCTGAGGGACAGCCCCCACCCCCCAGACAAAGGGCACACGTGTCCTGTGCACACAGTCGTCTGGGCTAACACCTCCATTCTCCTTTAAAGTCAATAGTACCCGAGCCAGCGCGGCGCTGCTGTTGGGGACAGCGCCGTACCTGAGGGCCTCCTTGGTTTTGGCTGGGAGGCCCGTGTACTGGTTGACAGGTTTGAGGACTGGAACCAGAGCCTCCTTCAGAGAGGATATCTGCTTTATGATATATTCTTTCTTCCAATAGCCAGCTTCTGTATCCTCAACCGACAATAAGTTCACAGACTCAGCTGTCTCCTCCACTGCATCGACCCTCCAATTATATCTTTTAAGTGAAAAGGCGGATGAGTAGATTCTGATCCAAATAAAACTGAGGGAGAGAAAACGGTAGCAGTCTCGGAAACACTGTCGGAAACACTGTCACATACCTGTGGCTGTAACGCGTTCATTTGGAGACGCACGGCAACTGGGCCAGGCGCCTCCCTCCCCGCCAACGCTCTCCTTCAGGGAGAGAAGTACACGTCTCTTGGGGGACACTGAGGCAAAGGTTAAAATCTATGTCCTCTGTAAAGGATGGCATTCGTATTGATAAATTCAATCGTTTGCTCATTTAAGTGTCCGCATTCTCTCCGGTGCAGAAAGGGGAGCGACAGCCCGTGGCCGAGGCGCAGCGAGCAGAGGGCGGTCCCGCTGCAGCTGGAGGTCCGGGCCGCAGGGCGTCAGCGTGAGGCCGGGGCCTGGGGGACGGCTGTGCCGGCCACACAGTGCCACGCCCCCCCCCCACCCCGCGGCAAGGAGCACGTCGCGGGCAGCTGACCTCTCCAGGCACCCCCTGCCCTGGACACCCCTGCCCTGGACACCCCTGCCCTTCCCAGCAACGCACGTGTGGTCAGGCCCCTCTGGCATCTCTTTCTGTTTTCTAGGGAGGGTCTTTCAAGTCACTTCTCACTCCACAAAATCGTTTCACACCGAGCCGCTTTGCCTTCAAGGTTTTGTGTGTGCGGCTCAGAAGCCTGGCTGGATTCCGCACCTGCCCCGGCACCGGCAAGCTGCAGCAGCTGCCAGGCCGCGGGCAGGACAGGCAGAGCACGGGCCGCTCACACCCCCGGTGACAACCGCCCCACCTGGCGTTCTGCGCGGCACCACGGGCACACGCTCCCGTACTTAGGTCGCCGTGCAGCAGCCTGAAGTGAACAAAAGCATCCCCCGGAACTGAGGTGGTGGGCAGACTGCTGTCCGTGACCACTTATAAAATACAAATGTCAAGCTTAAGAAGCTTCTATCAGTCTCCGAAGCCCAACGCTGCTAAAATGGCAGATCTGAGGACAAGAGCTCATTTATCGAACCTGACTCCCAGTCAGGCACCGTTGTTCAGAAAGTGGGGCAGATTTACCAGTTTAACGTCCTGATGCACAGCGTTTCCCAGAGCTCGGGGAGAGGCACCCCCCGTGACCGCGCGAGGCGACCCGGCGCCAGCCCAGTGGCCTGTCGGAGAGCCGTGCGCCAGCTGAGGCCTCGCCATGGGGCAGGGAGGTGGCCCCACCAAAGTAACAGCCCTGGAGAGTCCCCCTCCAGACATGTTCCCCCAGAAGTTATCCATGTAACTGGCCACACTACACGCTCCTGTTCTCTCTTCAGAAGCAACAGTTAGAACACACCCTTAACTTTCCAAAAGCATGTGTTGTCCATCCACCCAAGTATTAAATGGAGACTAAGACACTTGTAAATACAATTCCACTCAGACAACGAAGGTTGGCCTTCGGAAGAGAAGAAATCATGAGAATGGTTCGTCAGAAGCTCAGACGTTTGAAGGACAACTTCCAGGAAAGTAGGATGGGACTTGGTCAGAACATGACAGACATCGGGCTTGCTCCTTACTTGTCATTGGCCAGGTGATAGAAGCGCCGGTTCACACAGCCCACGCACAGCAGGGCGGCAGCATCCAAGTAGGAGAGAATCTGCAGCAGGACTTCCGAAGGCATGCTGCGGGCAGGCGAGGGCGGTCAGCGCGAGGGCGTCTCGCCCCGGACACCGCTGCGGGCCCCCCCCCCCGCAGAGAGGGCCGGCGACAGACCCTCCCCGCCCACGAGGCCACCGCACCGGCACCGCCCACTGCGTCCCCGTGGCGTGTGCCACAGGGCACGGGACACACCCCAGCACCGGCCCCTGGCTGCAGCGAGCTGCCTTTGGTCCCGGGCCTTTCACCACCTTCCCGCACTGAGTCTGCTGGGCAGGCTCCCCGCCCTCCCCCAATGAAAGGAGTGCGGGCTGGAGAGAGAACTGGAAACAGGAGACGGAGGCATGCTTGGCTATCGGTAGGGAACACACAGTACCCCACCCCTTAAAAAAACAAACCCTGCAGGGAGCAGGAAATACCAACGCACCTCCACCGGGGGCCGCCGCTCTGAGCCCCCTGCCCCCCACGTCCCCTGGCTCGGCCATGTCCCCTGGGCTTCGAGGACACACCGAGCGCTATCAGGGTTGCTCAGGCCTCTTTTTTTTTTTCACTTCTGTGCCCTGTAAATATGCCGCTGGGATGCGTTCCCAATGTCCCGTGGATTTCCACGACCTTAGAATTCTGCACACCCAACCACACCCTGGCAGCACCTGGAAAGCACTGGCCGGGGCAGACGCCGGGAGTGTGCGCCCCGCATGCCGGGGCAGAGGCGGCGGGAGACAGGGTGGGGGCGGGGCAGCTCCGGATAAAGGACCGGAGGGAACACGACCCTCTGGCCAATTGAAAGCGGCCTGCCATGCTCTCTACTTGAGATTTTAATTCTAAACTGTGATCAAAGTCAGGTGAGGAAAGCTTCTCGTGCGAGATAGGAAGGTTGCAAGAAACACGTTTTTTGCAACAATTCGGGTTATCCATTGCATATAGTTTTTTATATTTTGATTCAACTATTTCCTAATTTGTAGTTATTTTTTTAAATCAGTGTAAGCTTTTAAAATGTAGAGTTGGACTTAAAGAAAACATTTCAGGAAAGTATCCAGCAACTGTAACAATTATTTAGTTAGAATAAAGCCCCACTCGAGAAGGTCACGCCACAGGTTTACCTCCACCCACCAGACGGACACACGCAAGGGCGGGAGAGCCTCTCCACGGGCTTCTAGCAGGAAGGGAAAACCTCGGCTTTACAGCCAAACCAGCGGGGCTCGGAGCTGCTCTCCGCTATGCACCGTGAGCTGTCCCGGACCCCAGCACAGCGGGTGTGCGCACTCACGGGGGCGCTTCCCCTGAAATACTCCTGACCTCACAGTGACCGCGTGGGCGCGGCCGGGCCAGGGCGGGGCACTGGGGGAAAGGGGAGGAGCAGGACCATCGGAGGGTCAGCGCTGGAGCAAGGAATCTGCCTCGGGTCAGCGCCTGTCCCTGTGGGGACTCAAGGTCCCGCGCACCCTCACTCTCCGCCCTGCGGCCGCAGGGTGAGGGAGCCCCTGTCCTGGTCCCAGCGAGGACCTGCCGCCCCATTCCCGCACTTGCCGCTTTCGTGCTCCGGGTCCCTGGAGAACCTCGAGCCTCCTCACGAAGCTGCCCTCTGCACCTGAGCTCAGGTCCCCTGCCCGGGGTCCCCTCGAGGGCTCCGTCTCCCACTCCTGCCCTCCTGTCCTGTGTCACTCCCGTCAGCCCCAGAAACCCCCCACATCCGCACCCTACAGTGACGCTCGCCGTGCCCCCAGCCCCCTCCAACCACCAGGGTGAGTTGCTGAGTTCCTTGCTCCCTTCTCCTGCCAAGCGTCCAGAGAGAGCCCGACCCAGCACAGCCTGCCTGCACTGGTGCCTCCAGCCAGGCCTCCCCGGCACCCGCGCGGGCGGCGCCTGCCCTTGGCCGCGCCCGCCTGGGCGGCCTGTCCAGCAGCGATCTCCTCTCCTGGCCACACAACACCCCCCAGACCTCCGGGACTTGGCTGCTCTTTGCTGTTCCTCCTTCCCCCGCTGGCTCCTGTGTCCCTTTGCTTTCTCCCTGCTGCCTCCCGAGACCTGTGAGCCATGGCTCCTAGGATGCTCCTGAGTCCTCGCCCCCCACTAGGCTCACAGCCACTGTCCTTTCAGCTGGACTGTCTCCCTCCCCCACCCAAGAGCTTTCCCGCCCCAATACGCAGCAGCGCCACTGAGTGGCCCTCTCAGCAGGTCCCGGTTCCCACTTTCCGCCTGCTCTCCCCACACCTGCACCAAATTCGTAAACAAATCATGTCACGTGGGCCCCCAAGTGCATCCAGACTGGCCTGTGTCTCTCCATCTCCCTTCCTTCTAGAAAAGGCAAACAGGTAAACAATAAGAGGGTTTAAAACAACCCAATGGCCTCCCGCCTCTGTGCTTACAATCACCCCAGCACCTCCCCAGGACCCAGGAGGCCGGGCCTCCTCCGGGCCACCTCTCCCTGGCCCGGCCCACCGCCCGCGGCACGTTCCCACGCCTCCGTCCAGTTCTCAGCTGACATGTCACCTCCCCGGGGACAGCGGGCCTCACCATCCCGCCCGCTGTGCTGGGGCATGGCTGCATTTTGTCTTCTCGACAACACAGACCCCAGGGTTTCCTTCATTACTTTTTAATGTGTCTTCCCTGCTAGACCGCAAGCCTCGTGAGAACACATGTGAGCAGCTCACCATCTGTGTCCCAGCTCCAAGCGCAGTGTCTCGGACAGAGAAGTAACTGATCAAATATTTGTTCTGTTCTAATGTCAGATTACTGTAGGACAGATTCTACTCCCCAAGCACAGAGTTTAAAGCTTCAACTGATGTCCTTAATGCTTTCTTGTTTTGTTTTGGGGTTTTTGAGGGGGGTTTTTCTTTTTTTGGCTTTTCACTTCTTTTTAAAAAAACTGAAAGTATTTGTATCCTGTTAGCTGAGCTAGTTATGATAATAGTACTAATGGCCCAAAACTTGAAACTGGGCAATTTACATTCTAATCTGAATTTTGCTATTTGGAGACCACGTGAGCCTCGCCGCCTCTACCATAAGACATCTGCGATCATTCCCAGCCTTCGGGGCCCCGCACTAGGCTGAGCACAGAGCTGGCACTCCATAAATCTTACAACGTGGGGAATCCGCAGGCATCTCTGCATCCATTTCAAATTCTAACTTCAAAGAGTAAAAATGATTCTACAGATTGTTGCTTGTTCCTGAGGCCACGATATAGAATCTTGCCATGGCAAAATGGGTTCCCAAAATCCTGAAAGCTAAGAAATTCAGAGACCTCCTGAATGCTTAGAAGAAGACACTTTAATTTTCTTTCTCCATTTTCAGGGGTCTATGTCAACAGGAAAGTGAATCATTTTAAAGAACATTTTTTAAAAAGGGAAAATTAAATTGACTTATCACATTTAGACATTTAGCGTCATAAAATTAGCCTAATAATGATGGTGGTGACAGCTGGTGACTCACATCAAACTCCCAAGTTGTACACTCTTCCTACACAATTCTATTGTTAGAGAGCTCAGAATAGCAGTTGGCATATGTGGCATTGTAACTGTCTCTAATAACTCCATCCCGGAAGCCCCCAGAGAAGCGGCCGACGACCTGAGCCGCTTACCTGTCCAGCCACGCGGGGCAGTCCGAGCAGGGACTCCCGCGGGGCCCTTCGGGCCGGGCATGCTGCTCCCCGGGAGCGGAGGATGCACCAGCTTCGATACCTGGCCCGCTCCTGAAAGAGAACACGGAGAATTCAGATTCCTGCAATGCTAGGGGCACTATCCATTCCTCCAGACAGCATTTTAAGGGACTCAGGGACTCCCAAGGTCGCGCCTGTGAAACCTCGCTCGGCAAAGACAGGATGTGAGGGAGGGCACGGTGGGGTAGGCGGGGCCAGGGACCGGCCAGCGGCCTGAATCCTGGGCCCGCTGCCACGTGTTCCAAGACTAATGTCTAACGCTCACTCTGCTTCTGGGCTGTTGGCGTCAAAGAAGTTCTGCTTAATGGAAACAAAGAGGAGAAAGATAAAATGTACTCATTGTCCAATCTCAATAACAAAACACAGAACCTAATAAAAATACCATCAGCAGAGGGAAAAAACTTGGGATTTGTGAGCCAGAACTGCCAACAGGACCCACGACTCTGTTGACCGTCACGGACCTGCAAGGGGCAGCAGCTGGTTCCAGCTCTAGCTTCAGCGGTCACGGCCGCAGGAGCACCCCTCACCCCCTCACACTCAAGGGAATATATTTGACTGTCCATCTTTCATTTTTGTGGTACATAAAGTAACAGTGAATTTCACAGTCAATGTAACAATTCGATGAAATAGGGTATAGTATTTATTTTATTGGTTCTTCTCAGAAGTTCCTAAAATAATCTTTATTAAAATCAGCCCTCAGAAGCAGTGGCATCCAGTGGCAGCTTGGCCGGGGTCTGAAACACCCAGAAAGTCGCTGCGCCACAGCCCGGTGCCGCGGCCGCGGCTGGCACAGACGCCCCTGGGGAACAGGCGGGCCCCCTGGGAGAGTTCGGAGGCCGCCTCTTTACCACCGCCCCCCCCATACACACACACAGGCCAGCGACGGGCCGCCCCCGCCCCCAACCCGGCATGCTCTTTAGGACAGGCGAGCGCCAGCGTGTGCTCCTTGGTCGCTCCGCTCCCCAGCAGTCATCAGGCGGAGTCCGCGCTTCGCTCGCCCAGGTCAACCAACACCAGCTGCCGCCAGCAAGCTGACTGCCTGGGCCTGTTTGGACCGTCGCTCAAGGAGGAGTGGGTAATAATGGGAGGCACAGGGAGGGGCCCCAGGAACTTGGAAGGGAGGGCAGAGATGTTTCTGGAAGCTGAAGGATGAATTCCACAGCAGAAAAGCTTCGCCGTTGCGGGCATGGCTCTAGCCCGGCAGTGACAGGCAAACTGCAGTTCCCTCCTCTGGCTGCCTTCACAAAGCACCTCAAATGCGAGGCTTAAAGCAACAGAAATGCGCTGCCTCCGAGTCCTGGCTGCCCGAAGCCCAAAACCCCAGTGCTGGGAGGGCCGGGCTGCCTCCACCGGTTCTAGGGACGAGTCCTTCCTGACCCCTTCTGGTGGCAGCCAGACTTCCTTGGTGTCCCTTGGTGTCTGGCAACATTCCTGCAGCCTCGGCTCCACCTGTACACGGCCCCCTCCCCGTGTGTGTGTGTGTCTGTGTGCCTTCTTCTAAGGACATCACTTACGTTTGATTGACAGCCCACTCTGCTCCCGCATGACCTCACCTTAACTAACTGCATCTGCAAAGGCCCTACTGTCAGATAAGTCACACCTGGAGGCTCTGGGGGGACAAAATTGGGGGCGGGAGCACATCATTCAACACGATATACAATTTTCCAAATTTTTTATTTAAGTGTAGTTGGTATATAATATTATGGCTCAGGTACACACTATAGTGATTGGACTTTTTATGCCTTATGGTGTGATCACCCCACTAACTCTAGTCATCGTCTGTCACCATGCAAACCGATCACAATACTGTTGACTACACTCCCCGCCCCCTTCTCGCCCATCCTCCCACGCCCTTCCCGTAGCCCTCCCTTTGGTCTCTGTGTCCGTGAGTCTGTTTTTGTTTGGTTCATTTGTTTTCTTAGATTCCACATGTAAGTGAAACTATATGGTACATTTTAAAATGATTAAAAGCATGTCTTAAGTGATTAACTATTCTTCAAAGTTTTATAATGATCTGTGTCACATATTCAAACATAAAATGCTTTCAGTCAACAAAGGTCTCTAATACCCAAGTGTCAAGTGAAAAGAACCTCTAATCAGTAGAGCCTATTGCTCCTCCGTCAAATAAAAACATCTCTCAGGAGTCGCCACTGGCGCCCTGTGGACCCCGCAAGTGTGAAGGGGACCGCACCACAAAGTCTGTGCGCCATGTCGTTTGAAGACTGAGGACTGTCTCTCACTAGAGTTCTTTAGCAACTTTTTTACTTAATGAGTACTGCTGTGGTTAAGCAAAAATAAATTTATTTAAAAGCATTACTAAATTGCTAATGGCTTCTTGCCTTTATGTATTTCTTCCGTCAAAAGATGCCAGAAGAAATAAAAACTATTACCTTAGGCCTCTCCAAGGGAACCGAAGAAAAGTAAATTAACACGCTCTCTGTCAGTCTCAATCTAGCGACTTAGCAAAGACCAAATAAATGATGAGGGCTGGCGCTGGGCGCGGCCGGGCCAGCAGCCGTGCACCGTGGGGAAGGTCCACCCCGGGCGTGTCTGTCAAGACCCTCAGAGGCACACGCATTTCTTTAAGCCAGGAATTTTATTTCTAGAAATACCTGCTAAGGCGAAACAAATGTTCCCTGTGACTTCACTCAAGAATGTCCGTGTCAAGGCCGTCAGCTGGGAAAATACCCTGGACCAAGCACAGGGACCGGGAATGCGCCCGGCCTCCGCCAAGAGCGGCGCCACGGGGCCAGCGCAGGGCTTGTGTGAGCCAGAGGCCGGGAGCACCGGAAGGCTCTCTCCTGACAGGGCCCCAGAGCCTCAGGAGTCTCACTGTGCCGTCCAGCTCTCCAGCGGGCTGGGGGCCACGGAAGGCCGTCCCCACTCCTCCGGGCAACAGCCGCCCGCGCCTCGGGGCCACAGCCTCTGCGGCCGGGAAGCCCCATGCGCTGCTCACACAGACCCGTCGACAGAGCTAAGCACACACTTAGCTGGTGTGATCGGTAAGAGCACGTTTAGTCTAAAAACACTTTTTCATGTCACAGACCTTTGCCTGGTAGCTTTTAATTAGTTCAGTATTTTAAAAATCTACTTCCTGGGCCTGATTTTTAATACCAAGAATTTAGACCAACTCATATAAAGTATAAGTTAAGCCAACTTGATATGCTTTCTCCTACATTTCTTACAGTTTATGGTTTTCACCTACATATTCCCATTTTGTGTTAAAAAGGGAACCACTGACTCCTTATTGAAATCTAATGTTTCTGCTTTGAGACACTAAAAATAACTGCCTACATAGAACATCGTCAACCATCTTTGCACCTGACCTTTCTTTACCAGAAAGAATGTGTGCATCACCAAGTCACAGGTGGGCGTGCAGGCTCCAGGGCCAGGCCGAGTGACAGGCACTCTGACCACAGCGCGGCCCCGGGAAGTTCAGGCACCTCACAACGTGATGGAAGCTTCATCATCTCAAAGTCATTCTGCTTCCCACTAACAGAGCGCTATATATAAAGACTAATTTTAGTAAGAGTGACAAAATGATTTAAAGTTCAAGCTTCCTATTTAAACGCCAGTCTCTCTCTCCCACTTAAAAAGAACTTTTGCAGGCACTGTCACTGTGCCACTCACATGTCACAAGGCTTGCGGTAGGTACGCTATGTCTAGCACTACAGAGAGTCACTCAAGAACTATTACCACAACACCAAGGGACAGGGTCCTGCCCTGGAAACCAGTGTGAGCGGGGTGCTGGAACCCTAGGGTGGACACAGGACATAGTTCTGAAGACTCAGGAAAACAAAAAATGACAAGTAGTTGAACTGGCAAGTACCATCACGCTTTTGTAATGCTTAAGCGTAGGCATTGATGTATCAGAAGGCATAATGTGCACGACTTTCTCTATCTGTACATTAAGACGACTTACAAACAAAAGGATAATATTCAAGAGTGCAAAGTGTCCTCAGCATTATCCCTCTACCCGGTAAACGGACTGGGACGATGGGGACGGAGCTGGGAACGCTCACAATGAAACGAAAAGGATTTAGGTGCCACGACAGCACGCTGATACTGCCGGGATCATTCGCGCTGGGAAAAGAGCCATTCTCCGTGGGCGTTAACCTGGAGGTCCGGAAACAGCTGCGGCCCGCGGCCCGCGGCCCCCTGCCCTCTGCCCCCCGCCCCCACCTCACTCCTCCCAGTTGCCTGCTCTCATGTGGAAGAGGACGACTCTTCAGTTCCAGGGCTCCCCATGAGAAATGGAGGGAAAGGCGGCAGAACAGGGTTAGGAGCTGAGCCCCGCGGGGTGACCATTCCAAAAGCCTCCCTCTGAGTTTGCTTAGAGACGCAGCCTTGGCCTGGAGTCGGACGTGCAGAAAGTGCTGCCCGGCAGAGGGCGCTCCTGGACCCGCCCGCCGGCCAGAGGTATGCGTTTAGCGCCCCGCGTCCTACGCGCCCGGACCGTGGGTGGGACAGAAAACCCTAGCGTGTCTACTTCTCTAAGTTGTAAGGTCACAAAAAGACGAAAGGGGACTTCTGGCCTCAGAACAAGGAAGGACTTCGGGGGCACGTTGCGGAGCTGTACCCTTTCGGGCCGGGCAGGTGGAGACTGGCGAGGCGCACCTGTCTGGGCTGGTGCAGCTCCTTCGCGCGGCGGGTCCCCGCGAGGCGCTGCTCGGGGCTTGGAGAGCTTCCGACGTTCGCGCCCCCACAGTGCCCATTAACTGACCTAACGGAAAAGGAAGGAGGTGTCCTGGGGGCTACTCTCCTTGTACCCTGACTTGGGGTGGCCCCACGCTTCCAAGTTGAAGGCACTTCCTCCCGCCGTTCTTCCAGACCTTTCCCGCACTGGCAGCAGCCGCCAGCGACGCGCCAGAGATGGACCATTGTATAGAAAGGGGAAAGGGCGGGAGGAGAGGGGGACCGTCACCTGAACCCGTCGCTCCCGGGGGCCGCGCCAAAGCCCCCGAGAGGCAGGCGCAGCTCCTGGAGACCGAGCCACTGCCGCTGCAGAAGCCGGCCGCGTCCGGTCGCCATGGAGACCCGTCGGAACTCGTGGGCGGTGCGACCCGGGGAAGGTATAGAGCGCCGCCCACGCCACGCCTACCCGACGCCGGCGCGCTCCCCGGCACTCGTGCGCAGAAGCGCTTTCCCGCCCACTCCACTAGCGGTTCTAGAAATTTACGAGTGCTGTTTGTTAACACCGCGTTGCAAAAGTGGGGGCCTCGTTCCGTCCTACGTGCTAGCTCTAGGTAGTTCGTGCTACCTTCTGTCCCTTTTTTTTTTTAAGGAAGAATCCGAAATGCAAAGGCTCTGTCATTTGCCTTAAGGGAGGGCAGAACAACAATCAGAGCCGAGAATTTTCGGTTTACACTGTCCTGTATAAAGAGGCGCAAGAACGTGCAGTTTGCAAATGCTAATTTGACTTTTGTGAGTTCTAGAACTATGCTCCAAGAACGCCAATCTTGCCAAAAACCAACTTCGTGCAGCGCATGCGTAGGTAGTCAGCACGGGCTCGTTGGGAGAAAATGAAGGACTGGGTGGGGTATGGCCGCCTTGCATTTTGGGAGCTGTAGTCCTTGACTAAGCAACTAAGATAGATGTGAAATCCTCAAACTACTATTCCCAGGATCCCTAAGGGTTTCCCAGGGTGCTTTGCAAAGGCATGGCGGGGACAGTGTGAATGTCAACGTAGAAGAGCACTTTGATTCCACCGAAAAGAGGACCAAAGGGAAGAGGAGGTGGACAAGCAACTCCTTTGGTCTTAAAAACGCTGCCGGAGCTAACGTTTTTGTCGAGAACGCCAGGTAGCCTTTCCGGCGTGAATGTGTGCCCTGGATCACACGTCCTGCCAGGCGCGGAGGGACCAGTGAGGCTTTGCTGGTCGTGATTGGCGTCTTCCGTAAGTGAAGCGGGTTTCTGTGAACATGATTTGTTCTCTTCTGCGAGCTGTGCAGTATACGGAGAAGCTGCATAGGTCCTCGGGGAAGCGCCTGTTTTCGCCACACTTCGTACTCAGCAAAGCTTGCTTTAAGACCGAGCCCAGACGGAGATGGGCGCTGCACGAGCGGAAAACAGTGCGGCCCGGATGTATCCTTGGAGCCGCCCCGAGGACCGTCTGGACGCGGGGACAGGGCCGCCAGCGAGCAAAGGAGGACGGCAGCAAGCAAGTGTCTGTGCACAGTCAGAGGGCGGAAACCGCCATCTCGACGGCACAGAAAGGTAAAAGGGAATTCTCCAGTAAGGACCAGCCTTGCAGCAAGCGTGACAAGAAGTGCCCGTGCGCTTTTATAGAGAAGTTCAGTGCTGAGGATGCCAAGTCAATTCACGCAAATTAAAAGGCGGAACCGCTAAACATAGTTTAGAATCAGAGAGTATAGGCCTGCGATATCCTTCAGAGATTTGACCTCAAATTTGAAAGTTGAATTATGTCTAGGAAATTTTTCTCAACTTTGATTAGTTTTGCTGTGGAGAGAGCCATATAAAACTTAGCCATTCTTTAATACTTTAAAACAGACAAGGAGATTGCCCAGATGTTATTTCATCCATTTGACTCTCGCCTTCAGTCCTTCAAACATTTCTGTTCTAAGGTAGGAGGCACACTTCTCCAGTTTCACACAACTGAAAATTAAATGCAGATTTCCCTAATTTCGGTTTCCTAACGTCCAGGCCAGTGCTCCTTAGGACAACTATTGACAAGGATTTCGTGAGTTCCCATCTCGTCAGTGCTTAGCACTTGAACAGTTGCTAATGGCTGTGCCAAAGAAATCTGAAACACAAATAGTCTACCACTTAATTGGGAAGAAGATGCAAAGTGTGAAACAAATAGCGAAAAAAGATTAGTTGTGCTACAGAGAAAGAGGACTAGGGAGACTATGATGAAGAGTAGTAATTGGCGAGAATAAATAGAAAAGAAATCATTGAGTCATAATCTATAGGGATTAACTCATATAGTTCAACCCAATAAACACTTTTTTAAAAGATTTTATTTTATTTTAGAGAGGGGATGGAAGGGAGAGAAACATCCATGCGTGGTTGCTTCTCACGCGCCCCCTACTGGGAACCTGGCCTGCAACCCGGGCCTGTTCCCTGACTGGGAATTGCACCAGCAACAATTTGGTTCACAGGCTGGCGCACCGGCGCTCAATCCACTGAGCCACACCAAGGCAATAAACAATTTTCCTGAGAGGCTGCTGTTGTGCCCAGTTACTGAGTAACACTTGGCATACTACAGAGTTAAAGGCATCCGAAATACCTCTTCCCTTCTGATGACCCATGCAGTAATAGAATGTATAAAATAGGAAAAATGAAATGTCATTTGGTGAGGGAAGGTGAAGTTTTCACAAATGACATAAGAAAGCATTTCATTTTTTTGTTAGTTTCTTCATTTCATGAATAATAAAAAAAAAAAAGTAAAAAGCAAGAAAAGAAAACAATTCAGACACCCGTGATTATACCACGCAGAGATGACCAAGGTAATATTTGGTTTCTGTCATTTCTGTGCATGTATTTTTCAACAAAAATAATTTAGTCGTATCTTACCAGTTTTTGCAATCAGCTGAATGTGACAAAAATATAGTGGAGTGTTTCATTCATAGTAGTCTGACGAAAAGTTCAGCGTGAAGGAACAGCCTGTGCGCGGGCGTGCCGGGCCATGTGGCGGCGGCTGCGGCACAGGTCATGGTGCGGGCAGGCTCTTTGCAGGGCCCTGTCTGACCTGGGGCCCCGCTGAGGTGCATGGTGGGAGCAGCAGTCCCACGCGTGGGTGTGCTGCCCCCAGAGACCCCAGAGGCCCGTCGCGCACAGAAAGGACGGACAGGACGCAGTTGTTTGTCTTTCACTGGGCACGGCGTGTCCCGTGTGCCCTGCGGCGCACGCTGACGAGCTGTGCCGGGGTGCTGGGCCAGCCCTGGCCCTTGGTTGGGCTCCTCCCCGCACTTGGAGTACATGTGTCTCCCCAGGCCGCCCCCCACACCTGCCACCGGTTACTGTCGGCTCTTGCATGGTGGCATGTTCTGCAGCACCCCCAGGGCAGCGTTGTCCAGATAAAAGTCTGCTTGGCTGGGAATGTTCAGCGTGTGCGCTGTCCCGTTAGGGGGGCCGCCAGCCGCCCGTGCCTGTTGAGCACCTGAGGTGCTGCTAGTGTGGGAGCACTCGGTTTTTATTTAATTTTAAGTTAACTTAGGTTAATTTTTAATTTTAAACTTAAACAGCCACGTGTGGCATGTTGCTACTGTATTGGACATCCAGGTCCAGAATGTCCAGGTCACTTACAACGGTATTGTGACAGGGCAAGACCATACATAGACCCTGCTACCGCCTGTTGCGCGTTACTGCAGACGAGTACTGTTGCTCCTCCCCGGTAGAGGCGGCAAACGGTGCCGCCTCCACATCAGTGGCCGCACCGTGAGGCTGTGCTAACGCACTCCCGTAAGTTACCTTCTGCCTCGGCGTGGGCGCTGGGGTGAGCGCGCGTGGACTACCGCCGCCCTCTAGGATCTGTGGGCTTTCTGAGAGGAGGACTGGTGAGCGAAGGGGATGTGATGGGCTCCGCCACCCCTGCGTCTTAGGTCCCTAGGAACTGCACTCTCTCTGCCATCCCCTCCTAGATGTGGTTTGGGTCAGGTGGGTTTTTGGTTTGGTTCTGATTCGCAGGAACATTTGAAAACAGCTGCTTCAGACACAGACCCACTCGTCAGGCCTGAGTCCACACCCACCCAGAAGTACCGACGGCTCCTGCTGGCGCCTGGCACGCCAGTGACTCTGTGCTCTTTCCTCTTTACAGTTAAAGAAGCCGGAAGAGATTTTACCTATTTAATAGTGGTACTGATTGGAATCACCGTTACAGGTTGAAAACACAGCAAGTATAAGACCCCACCCCCCCAATATCTATTTCACTTACTGTTTGTCTCACCCCGGCTTTACTTGATCTTCTTTTTCGTTGCCTTTCAGGTAGCTTGTTTTACGTGATTTTTAAAGAACTTTTTTCATCATCCAGCCCTAATAAGATATACGGGAAAGCCTTAGAAAAATGCAGATCACATCCAGAGGTGAGTCCTCAAGACAGAGTTGCACAGCCCTGATAAGAGGGAGCAAATATCGGAACCGAGGAGGGGTGGGCAGAGTTCATGTGCCGGTTCTGAGCCGAGTGGAATTCATACGATAAAGCATATGTGCACGTTGTTTGTTACTAGCTCTTTCTTTTGTGCTTGAACTGCCCAAAGGGCACCCAAAGATCCAGGTAGGGTGTTTCCACCCTAATTATACAAGAGGAAGTCATTGTACTAGTTGTCATAAATAATAAATGCTCTGACTGTACCAGAGTCTTGAACAGCTACATAGCTCTTAAGTGTCTCTCTTGTTACACATTATTCCTTTTTATTGGACTCTTGTTGTGTGATGTGTCTTTTCTTTTCCAAAAAACCTGACCTGTGACCCCATACCACCGTGATGACTCGTACTAAGAGTGCACGCGAGCCAGGGATCACGTGTAGTGCCTCAGTGCGCCGTCCTCATTAGACCCCAAAGCCGCCATGGGTTGTGTTCTGCTTTGGCCCGTCTGCGGAAGGGGAAGCTGGCACTTAAAGACAGGAGACAAGTATCAACAGCAGCCTAATTAACCATGAGGAGGCCTCTCTACAGAGGTGACGACGGACTGTGTCATTCACAAACAGCCTTTCCTAGGGCTTCAACCCTTTGACCAAAACAAAATACACAGAATAAACAGTGGTGCCATATAAAAGTCATAACCCAATTTGCTGCCTATCAGAGGTCTACATGTAATAATTAAACATTTAGTTTTGTCAACATTTATAAAGGTCCGTTTCTTTGCCAGGCACTTTGCCTGGTTGAAAAATAGAAGACCTTATGCTGCGATGCTGATACGCGTAATCCGCTCAGTTGTTTGAACAGATGTTCCATGTGTTTCAGCCCACAGTTCTCGAGTGTCTCTCATCTTACTGCTCCTTTTTCCTTACGCGTGAAAAATGTGATAACTGATGATGCCAACACAAAATAAGAAAAGTTTTATTTTTTTATTTGATATCAATATTTTTTAAAGTTTCCAAGAATGTTCGTATTTTAAATTAAGTAAAAATTACATTTGCGTTTCATTGTGAGTTTTCCCATCAGGAATACTTGCCTCACAACGAAGTAAAACATTCTTTCCTCTGCAGGTAATAAGCGTCTTTGGTGAGCCCGTTAAAGGCTACGGGGAAATGACCAGGCGCGGTCGCCGGCAGCACGTCAGGTACTGCCTTGGGCTTGAACTTGCAAGGCTCGGGGATCATTTTTAAATGAAAAGGATTTAGACCTGTGTTCTTCCATTTTCTTGGCAGTTTTATTGAATATGTGAAAGACGGGCTGAAGCACATGCGCGTGAAGTTCTACATCCAGGGCTCCGAGCCTGGGAAGCAGGGAACGGTGCACCTGGAAGTGAAGGAGGTGCGAGGGCGGGGAGGGGCCCGGGCTGAGTGCGGCGCGGCGCAGCGCGCTGCGCGGAACAGTAACTCCGGGAAATACTTTTTTTTTCAGAACCCAGAAAGTGGCGAATATGAATTTCGATATATATTTGTAGAACTTGAAACCTATCCTCGAAGAACTATCATCATCGAGGATAATCGGTCCTGAGAGAACGAAGCGCGGCGGCACCGCGGCCCTGGGTGGGTGTTGAGGGGCGGACGCCACGCTGACCTCCGCAGCTCCTTTCCGCGGCCGCTTCGGGCAGGGCAGGAGGGAGGAGAGCCCAGCAAAGCGACGTCCCGGGCTAGTTGCTGCATCGAGACAGCTGCGTTCGAGTTTCCCTTGAAGAGTAGAAAATCATTGACTAGAGCATATTTTAGGTGACCCTGGGCAGTATTTCTGCTCTAACATCATCCTTCCTAAGAAATTTTCATTAAAAAACATCATATAAATAAGAAAACAGTTCAGTATTTTCTGCTTTTATGTTTTATAGCTATATAAAATCTGTGGAATAAAATTAAAACTAACATGTCAGAAGCAGCTTCCTTCCATGTACTTTGGTATCTGACTCACGATGAGCATTTGAAAATAGTTGAGAACTGTAGGGACCAAATGACAAGTCCACGCCCTTCAAATGATCAGAGAGAGGTTGTCACACCGTATGGGCTGTAATCCAGTCCCCTCCGTGAGTTGGGGGCATTGCACACCACGGGGAAGCGAATTCTAAAGCCGGGCGGGCTTGCGCAGGTTCCCTCACCTCGTCCAGCCTCACCAGCAGGTCTCATTCCAGCAGCTGAATGAGGCGACAGGCACGAATGCCTGGACCCCAGAAGGTGCCCCCAGAACGTCCCGGCCCTTCAGAGCCTGCTCGGTGGTGTCACTGCCAGAGGCAGCGTGGGCGTCAGGCCAGGCGCCTGGAGGCCTTGTGGCCATGCACAGCCTGCTTTATCTGAAGGAGCCCCAGGGCACGTGGAGAAAAGCGACCTTCACTTAGGGGAGTGCGATCGCATGTCTGTCTAAAGGTCTGCGCGTGCTGGGGCAGGTCTAAAAGCGCCCTTGCCTGCGGTAGTTTCAGTGTTGAGGGGTCCCCTAAAATGCTGTTCCCTCTCCCTCAGGCCCGCCTGATGGGCACTTGAAATTGTAAGCTGTTGGGGATGGACGGACCCCCAGGCGAGCAATCTCCAGTACTTAGTTATCTCTCTGCTTAATTCAGTTCAAACTGGAGTTTAATGGCTTGTTTTCAATGTCTTTTCTTTTTAATTATGAAAAATCTTAAACATTTAGGAAACTAAGGAAATGATGCGCTCCTTCCTGCTCAGTGTGCAAGTCACGGGGCCGGGACGCCCTGGGAGAAGTTGCAGCATGTGACGCAGCCCGGGCTGAACCCGTACGTGAGCCGCGGGTTGTGCTACTTTGATGCTGAACCAGACAACTGGGATGAGCCCATCTGCTCAGCAGCCTCAGGTTAATCATGCCTTTGGCCTCATTACATCAGCTGGTTCTGAGGATGAGGAGGGGGACAGATCTTTGAGCGCCCACCACTCAGGAGGCAACCAACAGTTGTCTGCTGGGCAGTGGCTGGCTCAAGGTCATCCACAGGGTGTGACCTCGGAAGCAGGGGCTGACCCCAGGCCTATCCGATTCTCCTGTCCTGGGTGGTGAACCCCTAGTATGTGGTCCTTCACCACTCTCTCCGCGGTGCAGTTTCCTCATCTCTCAAATGAGGACACCGCCATCAGCTCCCAAGGTTGCCATAAGGTCACACAAGGTGGTACGGAAGGTGTTTCAACAAGGTGGGCGCCTGCCTGCCGCAGCCATCAATTAATTATCTCGTCGGCCCTTGAGATTGTAGATAGAGAAGGTACCACTTTCATTTTTGTACCCCCAGTTCTCAGTATTTAGAAGACAGCAGGGTCTCAAAAAATTTTGTTAAACCCAAGCCGTAGGAACATCTACAATTCTAATACATAAGCAACACATTACTCAGAAAGTGACTTAAAAAGCTGCAGAGTCCCCGGCGGCCGAAGTGCTGGCCTGTCCCAGAGCAGCCCCGCGTCATTCCAACAAAACCCAAACCCATTGCCTCCGGGAGGCTGGGACAGCCCCTGGTGCCACATGGGCAGAAAGGTCATCCCATGGCCTGCCTCTCTCTGTCTCCCCTTCTCTTCCCTTCAGAGGGCACTGGTCATTGGATTAGGGCCCGCTGTATAACCCAGGAGGTCCCATCTCAAGAGCCTTAATTTAATTACATCTGCAACTGACCCTTTCCAAGTAAGTTCACATTCGTTCACAGGATACAGGTATGACAACATAGACATTTTTTTTTGGGGGGGGGGTACCATTAAATCCACTCAGAACCCAAGAATCTCTAAATTTTAACGAATTCCCCTAAGTCACCTGGATGGGTTGGGCCCAGCCAGCCAAGAGAATGCCCACCGTCGGCTCTTGGCGCTTGAGCCGCCCCCCTCTTCCGAGTGTCCTGCGTGTGTTGCGTCGTCTCCAGTGAGGCCGGCGGCTTATGGGGACGAGAGCCTGGCAGGGACTCCAGGAGCGCACAGTCGTGAGACCGCGACGGCTCTGGGATGCTGCCCAGGGCTGAGCTGCAACAGCAACTTCTCCAGAACTTGGACGTGACCCCTCCCCTCCCCAGCTCTGCCGCTCAGGGCCCTGCTCCCACTTGTTCACAGGACATCGCTGGTCACTTAATAAAACCCTCGCACAGAAGGCAACTCCGTTTCTGAAGGGTGTTGACCGTGCCACAGGGGGAAGCTATTGAGCTGCACCTAATGAGGGCAGAGTTGCCATGGACACAGTGTGGCTCGGCTCTGCTGCCGGAAGGGCGGTCGGAAGCCGAGGGTGAGACGTGGCCTCCCAGCCACTGTCCTCTGCCCGAGCTCTCCCCTGCTCCAGGCGGTAGAAGAGCCACTCAGAGCCACGTGCCGGGAAGTAAAGAGAGAAGGTACAACTAACAAAGTGCTACAAAAAACCTGAACTTTCACAGAGCTGTCTTCCCCACCCCCCGAGAACCAAACAAGCACAGGTACTGTCCGACAGTTACGATGCTCTCATAGGGCTGATCAGACGTTAGGAGTTCGGGTTAGGAATAAGCACGGGGACTCGATGGTCCACGAGGACCGCCGGCACCCATTGGCTCCAGGCAAAAGCTGCAGTGGATTTCCTGAGTTCAAAAAAATAACTCAGGTCTTTGTTCACCTCAACACCTTTTGGTGATGTTTCCACAGAGGTTTTGGGACGTGACCGCCAGGGAAAGCTCACATGTGGTGGTTCTGCTCCCCCGCAGTGGACTTTAGAAACATCCTTTGGCTCTTTATGGAAATTATGACATTTCGAGGTCGTATTCATGGAAACCGAATAGTACATTACAAGCCACAGGAGACCGGACTTCAGATCTGGGCATATTTGCAGAACAAGAAGGAAGATTGAGTTGTTTAATGTGCTTAAAGGGTTTACTTTATTAGATTCTGTCATCCGGGTCAACATAATTTGCATTGCAAAAAGGATATAAATCCTTAGCTTGGAAGTGTTTTTTACTGTGCCAGTCAAATACCTTGTTTGAAATTACACTGAGCAGAGCTATTTGGAAAAGCATTAAAGTTATTTTATACGTCTGTCTTAGAACCTTGTCATGGGGGTCAACTCTTGTATGTGTTGAAACTGTGGTCTGGAATTATTGCCGGGAGGAGAATGGCTTCCGGGTGCTGTGAAATCTTTGCTTCCCACCTCCCCCCCACACACTCTGCACACAACCTCGTCTTCCTTCATTGCTACCGCCTCCCACTGCCCTGGTTCATCTTCACAATCATCGCTGCAGGAGTCCTGCCCTGTGATGTTCGCACGCGTGAGAGGCCATCCAATGTACCAGCAGCGGGGGAGGTGCAGTGGTAATTCCACGGGAGGTGGTGAGATCCCCGTCCCCTGGGGGAGGGTCTGATCTCATGACACCCCCCCAAGTTCCTCTGTGTGACTCTCTTCCATACACAGCTGCATAACCACTGTAGGTGTCGATTATCAAGTAACCTACCTTTCCACACTTCAGGGAAACACGTCTTCTGCGAAATCTTGACAATACAGTAAAAATCAAAATAGTATTAAACTGTGATTTGAAAATTATCAAAAATTAATTCTGGCCAAGTAGTTAGGGAGGGGTTCAGCTTCAGCGCTGGACAAATCAAGGAATGAAATCCTTGTTCTGCCCCTGACTTGGCTGAGTGACGTGGACAAGTTTACTTAACCTCTCTGAGTCTCAACCAGTCTGAAGGTGACATGGGACTGAGAAGGGTGAGGGTGGGCGGGGAGCATGCATATCCAGCTGGCATGAGTCTGGGATGCAGGCCGTTCGTAACAGACTCTGTAATGACCTCATCTACCAGCTTGCCTTTGCTCAGAAAAACATCCACATTGACTAAGATTAGATGTGTCGGAAATAAATGCCACCATTTTCTATACAGTGGAAATGTATGACCATAAAAATTTGGTGGTGTTTTCCCAAGACAGCGAAATGCATGTTACCCAGGTATGTGGGGTCAAAGTGCGGTATACATATATACATTTTAACCCGCCACACAGGTGCTCAAGCCTGGTTTCTGGTTGGCCCAAATCCCGCCGAAAAGAACCAGGGTTCTCTGGAGAAATGGGTGATTTCTCCATTCCGGGCAGCAAGGTCTGAGATCAGCCTGAAACATCTCCCATCAAAACACAAGAAAGCGCTCAAGGGATGAAGAGGACGTATCAGAAGGGCATAGGGGCCTGCTTGAAGGGGCTCCAATAGCCCAGTCTTGGGCAATTTGCACATCACAGTGAATAGCAGTGAAGTGCATCCCACTGAATAAAACAGGGAACCTGTACTGATGGAAATAAAGAAGTTGAAAATTTCGTAGTGAACAGGGTTTTACTTCTGCGAGGTTCTGGCTACAGACGCGTGACATTAGACACTTCCAAGTTCAAGACATTCTACTAAATAACTGGCCTGTGATGTTCAAAATGTCACAGTCATAAAAGTCAAGGAAAAATTCCCAAGACACTGTGCTAGACTGAAACTAACAAGACACCATGGACGAACATAACACGTGATTGTGGACTGTCTCATTGTATGTAACACACAATCATGGACTGTCTCATCGTAACAGGCAAGATTGAAGCAATGTGAAAAATATGAAAGGAGTCCAAGGATTATTGCACAGTGGTAATGAATCGGGGATAGTTTTCTCATTCTGAGGGCTGTATTTTGGTTGTGGGTTATGTTGTGTGGGATTCCTAGTTTGCTCCGGCTGCCATAACAGAGCGCCACAGACTGAGTGGCTTAAACAACACAAATTAAATTTCTCGTAGTTCTTGAGTCTGGAAGTTCAAGATCAAGGTGTGTGCAGGGTTGGTTTCTCCCAGATCCTCTCTCCTGGCTCGTAGATGGCGATCTTCTCCCTGTGTCTTCACATGGTCTTC